TGACTTGTAGACAACATGTAGTTGGGCTATGATTCTTTTTATTTGCTCTGCCAATCTCTGTCTTGTTATTGATGTATTTAGGCTTTTAAACTTAATATGATTATTGATATGTAAAAGCTTAAGTCTATATTTTAGTTCTTATTTTACCTTGTCTATTTTCTTTTTCCTGCCTTCTTGTGAGTAACTTGAGTATTTTTTAGGGTTCTTTTTCTATTTATCTGTAGTATTATTGAGTGTATCTCCTCGTATAGTTCTCTTATTGGTTCCTCCAGATAATATATGCATATAGTTCTGTGTATATAATGCATCATAAGTTATATGTATATAACTTATCATAGTCTACCTGTGCCATCATTTTTCCATATAAAATGATGCTCATATATAAAATCTTACACTCCCCTCCCCAATTTATAATTTTCTTTAATATTTCATCCACATACCTTTAAAACCATATACAATAACATCATAATTTTTTAACCAATTATCAATCATAATTTATGAGATGCAAGGGAAGAAGGCAAAAATTTACTATATTTACCCATGTTTTTGGTCTTTCCTTTGTTTTTCCTTCCTTCCTGCTATTCCAAGATTCCTTCTTTTATCACAAGATTGTCTTTGTGTTAGGGAACTTTTCTAGCCATTCTTTAAGATAGGTCTGCTAGTTAGAGTAAGAGAAGGAGGGAGGAGGGGCGGGGAGGGTGGGATTAAAAAGAATTAAGATGTGTTAAGTACATGTACCTACTTCCTAAGGGGAATATAAGCACTGTATATACTGCTAACATGTACAAATAAAATAAAATTTTTAAAAGTCCTGGGGTTGTTAAAAAAAAAAAAAGAACGAAACATTGGTCTCGCTATTGACAAATTCTCTTGGTTTTCCATCCTCTGAGAGTGACTTACTTCACCCCCTTGATCCTGAAGTACATCACATTGCCTATGCAAAGGGTGATGGAAAGATACAGTGAATGTTTACATTTTTAAAAATTTATTACAGTAAAAGACGCATTGCTATTAATCCTCTTCAGAATACTCCCCCTCATTTTGAACACATTTAGCGCATTGGAGGTTTTGAGGGGAGAAGACTGGGTTACTGGGTATTGAACCCAGGACCTTCACAGTAAGCTACCTCCCCAGCCCTTTTCATTTTTTTTACATTTTGAGGCAGGGTCTCACCAAGTCATTACATTGCCCAGGCAGGCCTTGAACTTACAACGCCTTGCCTCAGCCTCCCAGAGTGCTGGGATCACAGATGTGCACCACCACAGTTCCAGAAGTCCTTTTTCATGGGTGTGTTTATGAGGTGTGATCAAAAATATGACGAATGCCCAGTGGAGTGCCCTCCAGAGGAAAGGCAGTCTCCTGTCTCTGGCACCCCTGTCAGAGGAGGCTCAGAGTCCCCCACTACAGCTGGTGAAGGTTGGGGTTTCTGGGATGCCAGCTTCCCCAGTAGCCAGGGTTGGACAAATGAGATAAGAAGAAAACCCAGGGAGCTTACTGCCGTGTTATTCCTCACGTCCAGAGGTGTAGGGAAAGGGAAAGCACAAGATGGCGGTACTTTGGTTCAGGCTGTGGAGGGAAGGAACTCTGAGAGGCGGTGGGTTCTGTGTCAGCAGGGCCCCCAGGCAGGCAGGTGTCCTGCTACCCTAGTGTCAATAACTGATACAACCAAGGGGGTTCACAGCACTTAGTGGGAAGGACAGAGAGAGGCACGTATGCTGCATCTTCCAGAAGCAGAAGTCAGCATCATCCTTCGCATTAATTCTGCTTCCCTACTTAGACCGTGTGTTCGCAAGGATCATTTCTGTCTTGTGCACTTCTGTATCCTCAGCTTTTAACATAGTGTCTGGCACATAGCCAATGGCATAAAAGTGTTTGAAAAACCAGTAAGTATTCAACCAAGAAAAGACAAAACTTACATCAACCAGATAGGTACTTGCCTTGGGACACGCACGGAGCTGTTTTCTAAAGGAAAGTTGTGTGGCAGCCCCTGCAGAACCAAGAATGGAAGATGCAGAGAACCAAGTTTTGCTCACCAGAAAGACCCATTTTCTAGGGACAGACCTTGCTAATAATGCAGAGAGGTAGTGATTTCCCACCACTGGGATTACAGATGAGGAGACCCCTACACCGTGTGCAAGTTCAGATGAGCTGACTGCTAAAGCCAGGGCTTCTCAAATATTCGCGTGCCTAAAAATCACCTGGGGATCTTGTTAAAATGCAAATTGGGATGCAGGTGTAGGATGAGGCTGGAGATTCAGTGTTTTTGACGAGCTTGCAGCTGATGCTCATACGGCTGGTCACGGACCGCACGTTGAGGAACAAGTTTCTCTGCCTCATTTAATGAACAGGCAAGTCAAACCAAGTAAGTAAATGGTTTTCTGCATAACAGAAACGGTAACACCTGAGCTCGACCCATAGCTGCCTTTCCTAGTTGGCTGAGGTTTTAAAGACAATAGTGCCCTGACATGATGACCTTGCTTAATTCTGTAGGTCGGGCATCAAGGCCTTTCCTAACCATATCCCCCAAAATGCAGGCCTCCAGCAAGGCACATGCAGGAAATGGGACTACAAGATCACGTGAACTCGGGACGCCTGTAGCATGCACTTCTGGAAGTGCACAAAGCACATTAATAACCAGGCATGGTGGCACACACTTGTAACCCAGCACCAGGAGGTGGAAGCAGGGAGACTGCTGCAAGTTCAAGTCCAAAGTGAGATCCTTTCGCAAATAAACAAACAAACAAAAAAGATTACAGGAATACTGAGATAAAGACAGCTGCTTAATTTTAAGCAAAGTTTATTTGTCTCCCAAATCTCATAGCTCCACTAGTATCTTAAAGGCCAGTGTGACCCAGGTAAGAGGCGCTATTCACAAGGGACTTTGCTACATCCTCTCTCCTGGTGTATTGTAGAATGTGTATTATGATGCTTGTGTTGAAAGTGGGTGTACTTCTCAAGAAGATGCGCAAATCCTTAACCTGGGACACGAGACCTCTTATCTTAGTTTGGATTCCGCAGAAGCAGGCTCCAAGAAGAACATATGAGCCCAGATTTGGGGGGCAAGGGAGACACAATCTCGGAAAACACCTGTGGAGGAGTTGAAAGTGACATAAAGAAGGAAGCTTAAAAAGGGGCGCTATTAGCCAGGCGTGGCGGCACAAACCTGTAATGCCAGCACTTGGGAGGCTGAGGCAGAAAGATCACCACGAGTTCAAGGCCACCCTGGACTACATAGCAAGACCTTGTCTCAAAAAAAAAAAAAAAAAAAGGTGAGTTATTTGTATTTTATCATGTAAGTGAAATAAGCCAGATTCAGAAAGACAGGTATTACATGTTTTCTCTCGCGTGTGGAATCTGGGGAAGAAAACAACAACAACAAAAAAAAACCAACATGAAAGTACAAGGAAGACTTTTCGCACAGAGGAGGGGGAGGGATAATGGGAAGACAGATATGATCAAAGTATGTTACATGCCTGTATGAAAAGTCCACAGTGAAACCCTTTACTATGTATAATTAATACGCACTAATTTTTAAAAAGGGTGAGTTCTTTAGCATGTTCGAATTCTGGGCAATGAAGGCTCCATCGCCCTGGGGAACTCTGGGAGAGAGTGTAGAACATGCTTTGGGGGTGTCTGTACACCACACACTGGAGACAGGAAAGCAAGGGCGGTTATCCTAGAGGCCCTTCCACCTTGGGCTGGGGGCCACTCCCGGGCGGTGGCTCTCGGCACTTCCTGCCTGCAAGCCCGCAGCCCAAGGAGCGGCTGGGTGCCTCACTGGAAGCTAAGTCCTGTGCTAGAGAAGCCAGTGCCAAGGGGCTATGAATGGGCCAGTATCCGCCACATCTCTGAATTTTAAATGTGTTCTTTTCCTAGTTTCTTCTGGGCTCCAGTGTAGTTAAATATACAACCCTGCTAGTAAAATATTTTGAAGATACTGAAACAAGCTATTGATTTTTCTTTTCCTTTTTTTCAGTCCAAAAAGCCATCTGGGAATAACCAAGTTGGCTTCAGTAGATGGGACCCGCTGGGAGGGACTGACGTCTAAAACTGCTGCCCACCTCAGATGCTCCTGGGACAGGCACAGCTGCTGGGGTACAGGGCTACCGACCCCCGATTCTGGGCTGAGAGCAGCCCATGGGTCTCACAGCTATGGCAAAGGATGGCTGAGCCAGTGATAGGGACAGCATTAGAAAGGTCAAAGTTGGGTGACAGGAGGACCATAAAGGGGCTCAGAGCATCTGATGGAATCCAGGTCTAGATGGTGCTCAGAGAGCCAAGGAGACAGACAGGAATGGGTGACAGAGTCTCTACTAGCTGAGCCAATCACTGCGAAGGAGTTTGGGTAGGACTCAGAACTACGCAAGGAATCTGCAAGACTAAGGCAGGACCCCCGGCCCCGAAGGGTGTTAGGAAGCAGACAGGTGCCCACGCGGTGCCTTAAGCAAGGAACAAAGTCAGCACTCAAAGAAGGGCAGAAGGAGAACTGTGGCTAAGAACATGTATATCTGTGGCTTCTGGTTAAGGAGACCAAGAAAGAGACAACACATACACACACACACACACACACGCACACACGCGCACATGCTCACATCATAAGCAGCACAGCTTCCCTGTTGCCAATCTCAGCATACAGGACCAGGGCTCCTGGGAGATTCCAGCTGAGGCCTCAATTCTTCCTAGAGCTTAGGGAAGGCTACACCAACAGATGTAGGCCAAGCGGCCCTCACAGTGAGGGGATGAGCCTGAGACGAGGAGCCAGGCGAGGCCTGGTCCCTTTCTGCTGTGATGCTTGTAGCCAGATGGTTAGGGTTCGTTGGGTGGGTTGGGTTGGGCTGGGTTGGGTTGTTTTCCATGCTGGGGGTAGAATCCTGGCCTGCACATGGTAGCCAAGTGCTCTACCACCAATCTCCATCCCAGCCCCGGTCAGGGGATCTCATCAACCACCCACCCATCCCAGTGCCTTCTTCACGGCCTTGCCCATCCCCTTGTCCCCCTGCCCTGCTGCTAGCTACCCTCAGCCTTTCGAGCACTTAAAACACAATTGGGATCCTGGCCAAATCACGGGAGCCGTTCCTGTGACAACATCCCGAGCTTCCGTGCTCCGCAATCCACAGGGAGAGAATGTGCAGGTAACTGGAAGGACCTCTGCTTTTTAGCACTGAAAACCATCTCTCCTTGAGTTCCTCTGCTTACGCAGTGTTAACGGCCCCTTCTCTCCTTTCCCTTTAGTTCGCACTGTACATGTCTATTTTGGTCAGCTTCCTGTTAAAATTGCCTCCTTTTCTCTTTCTATTCTAGCTCCATATTCATCTTTTCCTCTCTGTTCATTTCTTTGCCGTTTGTGGGGAGGGTTTTCTCCTGCCCGGAGTTTGACCTTGGCCTGCTGCCCTGCACCCCGTGCCCACACCCTCCACCCATGACAAGATTCGGGGCTTTTCGTTTCTGTTGACCACACTGCCAGCTCTTTATGGCCTTTTCCTTACCCTTGTTTCCTTTTCTTTTTTGTTTTGGTTTTAATCCTTCATTATCCAGCTTTTCCTGGCGAATGTCCAAGACCAAACTGCATATTTTTCTAAGCCTTCTCTCTTTCAGTTCTTCTTTCCTTTTTCTGCTTCGCCTCAGCTTCCTGAAAATCTGCCTCAGGGATCCATGGTATAGCTTAGCTTCTTTTTTTTTTTTAAATTCCAATAACAAATACTTCATTTACTAGCTCGAATAAATGGTGCTTTTCAGCAATTGGAGAACTTGTTTCTTTTTTGTTGAAAACACTGTATTAGAAGAATCAGATAAACCCCTCTGATGCTTTCATCAAAATTCTTCCGCATTCTCACTGCAGAATTCCAACTACATGGCATCGCGGATATTTGGAGCCAGCCTTCTGAAAACATGCCCTCAATCACCCACAGCCTCTTTATGAGTTTTTCCATCAAATGCGACTTCAGTTATTAAGATGTCCCAAGCGATTAGACTCACCAGCAGCCTCCTAAATAAATACTCAGCCCAAGAAACCTGACACTGTCTGGAGAGGCTGCTTGGAGGAGATTACTTTGCAATGGGAACGGTCCTAGGCCTGGTGTCTGCAGAACTTGCTTCATGCCTCACAAGTCTTTACCAGCAGTCATGGAAATCTCTTTGTCTCTCGCAACTGCAGGAGGAAGCAGCAATACAAAATATTATCAGATGCTTTGGGTTTCTTTTCTACTTCACCACTTAGGTCTAGCAAATGGCCATCGCTCCTCCCACTCAGTCCCTCCAGGGGACAGCAGTGTTGCTAAGGCAGGGACAGGGCAGGATTGGGGCTGCTACGCAGCCTTCCCTCCCAGGCCTGGCACAGGCATCCAGGCATATTTCCCTAGCTACCCACTATTTTGTACATCTTAGAGCTCGTGTTTCTTCTAGAGACTAAAGAGTTCTTATTGCTCAACTTACTAACGGGCCAGCAGAACAGCGATACAGACATGATGCTAAGAATATGGACTTGGGAGGCAGATGCTCTGAGTCTGACACCTAGTTTTGCCATGCGATAGCTTTGTGACCTTTTGAAAGTTGCTTAACATCTCTGTGTTGCTGTTTCCTCACCTATATATTGGGAATAATGTTTTGAAGATGAAGCACGTTAATATTTTGTAAAGGACCTGCTTAGAACGGTGTCGGGCACCCAGTGAGCATCCTAAAGGATTTGTTAAACAGGAACATTGTCCCCATTCTAATGTTTTTAATGCTAGAAAATCATTCTTGGAAATAATTAGGTAAGATGTAGCAAGGGATCGTCTGGAGAGATGGCCTCTTCGTCCCCAGGGTATAAAGGATGTGGTGATGGGGAAAATCAAATGTAAACACAGCAAAAAGAAAGTGATGTAGGGATCCACCAGGCAGACTACCAAGATGATCCTGTGAAACAACTCACTGACGGTTGTGCTGTTTATAACTTAAAGGAAGGAAAATGAAAGGGAAGGAAGCAAAGCCAGAGGGAGGGAGGCAAGGGGGAGAAGGCAGAGAGGAAAGATTTGATTTCATTTTAAAAATACGGACCCACGGCATTTGGTAAGTCCATAGGAACTTGGAAAGGGCGCCAGACTCTAGTTCCCGGTCTGGCTGCTTCAGTCTACATCTCCCATCCTGCAGGCTCTTCTTTCAGTGTGACAGTGGCCCTCCCACCAAAGACTGGGGGCTGTGCTTCCTCCTCTGGAGTCTGGGCAGACGCTCACTCACTACTGCCCCGGCCCACAGAGTACGGTGGCACAGGCTAATGTGCCACCCAAGGCAAAGTGGTAGAAAGGACACAGCTTCCACTGGGCGCAACCCAGCATACCTTGCTGTCTGGGCTACATGAGCAGACCACGGGAGGCGTAGCGGTCCTGCTGACAGCCAGCATCAGCCAGCAGATATGCAGGCAAGTGGGACTTCAGAGGATTTCAGTTCCGGCTCATCGAGTCTTCCCAGCTGAGACCTAGACATTGTGGAGCAGAGAGAAGCTGTCTCTGCAGGTCCCCTGCTTGAATCTCTCACCACAGAAAGCATCAGAGGCAATCAAATGATTATGATTATTGTGAACCACTGAGATGTTGAGTAATTTGTTACGCAGTAACAGATAACTAGTACAGAAAGGGTATGAGGAAGTGGAGAGCGCAGTTTCTAGAAAGGACATCAGAGTTTTCCCATGAGGCCTCCTATTGGAATCCTCCATGCTGCTATATATTTAAATCCTGCCCTGTTCATCAAAGCAAACTGAGCACTGCTAGACTTTGTCAAATGAACTACACTTGATCCAAGTCAAATTGGAAATCTCGGAACCGTACCACAAGTGGCACACTGTGCCACTCCTATCGATCTAGGGCTCCCTGCCCCAAGCTGCCTCCCAAGGACTCTGAGCAAAGAGAGTCTCAACTAGAGCAGAATTATGAAGTGGCCTGGGGCCGGGAGCCCATCAAGACCACTTTGAACTCACTCAGGGCTCTGAGTACGTCAACACACCCCAGAAAATATATTTTGAAATAACTACGAGGAATGACTCAACCCTCCACTTCTCCTAATAAACAATCCATATTTCACTGCAGACATATTAACAAGTAAAACATTTTAATTAGTAAAAAGAATTTGAAATACTACTACAATCCCACCACCCAGAAATAACCACTCATAATGTCTTACTGTTTTTTTTTGGGGGGGGTTGTATTTTGGTTTTTTTTTTTTTTTTGGTCTTTTTGAGACAGAGTCTTGCTATGCAGTTCAGGCTGGCCTTGAGCTCATTTTGTAGCCCAGGCTGGTCTCAAACTCACAACGATCCACCTGTTTCAGCTTCCCAAGTGCTGGGATTACAGGAGTGCGCCACCATGCCTGGCCACAATATCTTACTGTAAACCTCTTTTTTTTTTTTTAATGGACAAATAATATGGGGTACAAGGTGATGTGGGTGCATGGATACATCATGGAATGAGCAAATCAGGCTAATTAACATACCACCTCTCTACTTATTGTTACTCTGTGGTAAGAGCATTTAAAATCTAGTAGCGATTTTGAAATTGCATTGTTCTTTTTTTCTTGTTTTTTGAGAGAGGGTCTCACTATGCACTTCAGGCTGGCCTTGAACTCACTACATAGCCCAGGCTGGTCTCGAACTCGTGATCCTCTTGCCTCAGCCTCCCGAGTGCTGGGATTACAGGCAGGTCCCACAACAACCAGCTGAAGTATGTGTGCTTATTAACTATAGTCATCATGCTGGGAAACAAATCACCAGAATTTTTTCCTCCAGTCTAACTGAACTTTGTATCCTTTGTCTGTATCTTCCCTTTTCTTTCTGTTACCACCCTCCTGCCTCTGGCAATCACCATTCTACTCTCTACTTCTAGGAGTCTGCATTTTTAGGTTCCACACATAAGTGAAAAAATGTTATATATCTTCTATATCATATAAAGAAACAGTATCTAGACATTGGCTATGCCTGATGGCACATATCTCTAATCCCAATACTCACGAGGCTGAGGCAGGAAGATCACTACAAATTCAAGGCCAGCTTGGGCTACATAGTAAGTTCAAGGATGGCCTGAACTGCATAATGACACCCTGTTTCCAAAAATCATATAAATATTAAGATAGTATTTCAAGAAATATTATGTACATACATATAGAGGTGACCTTATGAAACATTCAGTTCTGTATCCCACTTTGCTCACCTAACAATGATTCTGACCATTTTTCCATGTGAATAAATATACAGTGGCTCTCCTTTTCTTTTTCTTTTTTGTGGTGCTCAGGATGGAGCCAGGGTCTTGCACATACTAGGCCAGCACTCTACCACTGAGTTACACCCCCTGCCCTATCTTATTATTTTAATGGTTGCTAGCGCATTGATTGAATGTACCATAATTAATTTATTCTACTTCTTATCCTAGGGAATGTTGGCATTTCTCCTTATTTTCTATTATGTGGACTTGCAGTGAGCACACCTCTACAAACACATGTCTGATTCTTTCTTTAAAATAAATTTCTAGAAGCGGAATCATAGGACCAAGTGGTCAGAATATTATAGGTCTTTCGGCAAACAGTGCCATACTGCCCTCCCTCCCGAAAGGGTATGTGAATTTTACATGTAACCAGCAGTGCATGTGAGTATCCCTGCTAACACTCCATGTACTAGTTTTCCCCAGCTAATCTTATAAGCCAAAACTTAGATCATTGTTGTAATTTGCAACTTTAAGGTTAAACAAGTTTTGGTTTTGTTTTGGACTAGGGCAGAGGGCATTTGTAGCCATTTGAGGGTGGCCTATTCTTGTTCTTTGCCTTTTTTACAAATGCATGAACACTTTTTACCTGACTTTAAGAAGCTGTTTATATGTGAAAGCTATTAATCCATTGTCACCATAGATAATGCAATTATTCCATAAATGCTCACTTGTCTTTATTAATGATGTTTTTTCCTCCAAATTCCTAAATAAAAAATACCTTCCCATCTAGAAATGTAGAAGGGCATCTGAGCTGGGCATGGTGACACATAACTATTGCAGCACTCTGTGGGGCTAAGGCAGGAGGATCACAAGTTCAAGGTCAACCTGGGCAATTTAGCAAATTAGTAAGACCTTGTCTCACAATAAAAAAATAAAAAGCTCAATGCAAAGGCTCTGGGCTCACTACCCAGTACCAGAAAGAAAGAAACAAACAAGAGAGAAGGAAGGAGGGAAGGGAAAAAAGGATAGAAAAGCCATTGGATTTCTTTCACAAAACAAACAAGAGTCTATATGTTCTTACTCTACACCTATTGTACTTGGGTTAACACTCCTCTACAAGTAGAGGCTAATATTAAAGATAAAAGGCTTACCCAGAATGCTGTCTAATTTTGCCTGACTTCTACAGCTTTTTGAACTGGTATTCATCAGTATGTTACTTTTAACTTTTAGCCCCTGTTTATTTTAACATGGTTATAAAATAAAGCTTGTATCAATGACTTGCTAATGCTCTCATTCACTTTTCCAGACTATCAAAAGATGATGGTTCAACAAAACCCACCTTCCTTTGTCTCCTTTAAGTCAAGGTAAAACTTTTTGATCCCTAGCTAGGCAGGATGAGTGCCCCTCGTCAGCCTGAAGCTGTTATAAGAAGGTGGGCCTTTGCCCCTCTGTATCCCTGGAGAATGAGGAATCCAAGTCTCAGGGGGAGAAATGAGGTAGGACAGAAGATGTAAAGATAGGCAGAAAAGAGACAAGAAAAATCATACCTTTAAAACTAAAACTGCAGCTTCAGGACACAAGCCCAGTTTCAATGTTTTTCTCTTCTCCTAAGACACTAAATCTGGGAAATTCCCTTCCACCTGAAAATTGGTCTTTTTCATCTGTGAATAGATCATTTCTTTTCACCTATAAAATGGGATTTTCCTTATGAATGGGGCATTATCTTTCTGTGGGTGGGCCACCCTTTTCCCATAAACCAAGACCCAAGACGGAACTTCCCATAGAGTTTCCACTCTCTCAAGGGAACCGTAAATGTTCCCAGTTCAAGGGAATAATGTACCTCTCTCTCTTGAGGGCCCACACTCTATTTCTTTGAGTGTGTACTTCTAAATTTATTCCTAAAACTTTCTTTATGCCTCGAAAAGAAAAGAAATGAAAAGAATCTGAAATTAGCATATATGCAAAAAGACCTGAGTGGTAAAAGCCTCGAGGGAACGTTGCCCTGGGTGATGTCCTTTGTACATTTCTGTAGTTTCCAGATGTAACAAAGTGGATTAATGCTTTTATAATCTCAAAAACTCTCCTAAAGATTTTGTTTGTCCTTATTGAGAAAACATTTGTGTGGTCTATGTAAGCAGAATGCCGGAAGCAAAAAAGAATTGGAGGGAAGAGAAGGAAGGATGAAGTTGGAAAAAAAAACAAACCCGTGGGTAAAACATCATGTAGTACAGTATAAATAAGTATGATTTCTATTTGTCAAAAAATAAATGAAAACAAAATAAGGACCAGATCACAAAAGACTCAGTGTTTGGGCTATAGTCAATAGCAGAAAGCTTTTAGATAGTAAGTGATCTGATAAGATCTTTACTTCAGAAAGACAGCTCTGCTTACAATAGGAAAGACAAATTAGATTGGAAACTAAGAAGTCATTGGTGATGGTATCAGTTGTTTATTGCCACAATAATGCTATGTATAAATCACAAAACCAGAGTAATAAACAACTGTGTTTATTGCTCACATGTCTGGGGTCAACTAGAGGTCAGCTAGGCCACCCTGCTTGTCTCCTATAGGCTCATCCATATGTTGTCCTAATCACTTATCGTTCGTCACTGAGACAAAATACCCAATACCTGCAACTTAAAGAAGAGATTTATTTGTGCTCACATTTCAGTCCCTGGTCAGCAGCTCACAAGAAGAAATAGCCTGGTGGAGGGGCGTGGCAGGGAAGAGTTGCCCCCAGCATGGCAGACCTGAAGGGAGGAAGGAAGGAAGCCGGAAGTCGGAGAGTGAAGGGTGGAGCCCAGAAGAGAGATAAAACCTCCCAGGTCACACCCACAGTGACCCGCCTCTTTAAACCAGGCCCCGCTTTGTGACAGTAAATCAGCTCTAATGCACCCATAATCCAATCACCTTCCAAAGGTCCGCCTATGAGTGCATGAGAGGTTAGGGGGACACCTAGATATAAACCATAACAGACACCTAAAAGTGTTTGCCTGTGGGTTGATCTAGACGGGCAGCGGCTTGTTCAGGCTGTCTTTTTAAGGATGTTTGTATAGCCAACAGGTTTGAGAGACAGAGATGGTGTCTCCCTCCAAAGGAAAGGATAAGCATGCTTATCACCAATTCTAAAAGGTTCAGGTTCCCTAACTTTAGCGTTTTTCTCCTGTAATGCAACCCAGTGTGTGTGTAGGCGTTTGCTTGAGCCCGTCCACACCACCCTCATCAGACTCGAAGGCAGAAGAACTGGTGCAAATGTGTTTGCGCTCATGCTGCTCGCTATTCTGTGAGTAATAAAATCCTTTGCCTTTGACCCAGGAGTCTCATGTCTTCTGCCAAAGGCTGCAAAACTGTGCCAAGTTAACTTATTAACTTGCAAGTGGGGTAAAATTTCAGACCCTTCACAGTTCTTGACACCAGGCAGCTTCTCCTCCTCAACCATTGATCCATGAGGACCTTCCATAGCCACGATCCCAGTGCCAGGCACAAGGCTTAGTAGATAATTGGCATTTCTGAAATACTTATCAAATCAGTACATTAATCATTTTTTTCTCTTTATTTTCAGCAGGTAAGCTCAAAAATAACATTTTATTTGACATGGCTGTCAATCATTAAGCCCATCATCGTTGCCCTGAGTAATCTTTCTCCCCAGTACTTGTTAAGATACCGATGTCACAGCATTGGGGTAGCTGGGTAGATCACACTTGTTTGAAGCTTTCTGGGATGCAGGGTGTTTTTACATCCAAAATTTGTTCCTTATGCAGATTGTTTCTACTTTTCTGAAACTTATTTACATGTGGGCTTTGATTTCTTAATACAAGGTTTTCCTGCAGACTTTAGAACAAAAACTTGTAATGCTTTCATGTATACTTACAGGTTTGATTTCGAGCTATTTATCCAACTGAGTGTGTAATCCCAGAAAGAAGATGGGGGAGTGTAAAAAATTGAGATTCAACAAAGTGAAAAGGAGAGAAATGGGTAAAGATGAGAACAACTTGTCCATTCAACTGTATTGTGCAAGATTCTTGCAGCTGTCTGCTCAGCTGCTAAAGTCTGGGTTAAAGTTCAAAGGGAAAGATTTCCATGCACATAGTTTCCAATGTAAAAGAAGTGTCGAAGTATGTGAAATGCAAACGTTTGCATACACAAAAGATCCAGTGATGAGTTTTAAGAAAACACATAAACAGGAGGGAAGTAATTGGACTCAGATTTAAACATCACTCTCGCGTTGAAACTGTATTAATTTTAAAACCTCAGCCCTGGCATACTTATTGGGCCTGTCTCCTGCAGACTCTGGCGACAGTCTCCAGGCTGAACGTGAGTCATAACGTGACACTGCAGACAGCATCCGGGAGGTGGGGTGTTTCACTTCTCACTTGTGTTAATTGGAAAGTAGGGACGAAGGAGGAAAGCAAATGTGAGAATGGAGTTCTCCTTATTTCATTCAAAAGGCTCTGGACTAGGAAATAGTAAAAGATTGTTTTAAATGGATTTTTCAGTGGGTACTTACATGCCATGGATGCTTAATGCTTCAAAACCGTATGTTATATGTATTTTACCACAGTAAAAGTGTCAATGCACGCTTCAATTTTAAAGTTTGTGTTGATATTTAATAATTGGACACCTTGAAGGATGTCAGGGTACTGTTTTATTACCTGAAAACTAATAAATAAAGGGAAAGAGTCAAACATATATTCTGCTTTTCTTGTAGAAACTGTGCACTAAATGATCACATATTGTACCTAATTAATGAAAATAAAACGATAGAATTTGCCCAGTTACATGTGCACAGGCAACAATTGAATTTGCCTTGAGTTTGGGCCAAGACAGAGTTTGAATTTCTGGCAGAAATGGATGGGGAAGGAATCAGAAGTTGTATTGAGTGAACCATACTTTAGTTTGTGAAGCAATTTAGTTTTCTGGGCAGGAGAGCTCAGACCTGCTGATTACCAGCAAAAACTTAGAATTGCACCTTCATTACTGTGCTGTTCTAGGGCTGTGAGCAAGGCAGGGCTATTCTCTGGAGACCCCATTTCATACAGAGAAACAGGGTAGCTTCCATATCATCCATGTACAGTGCACCTGAAGCTGTGTCAAAGCGGCAGCCAGCTCTCTTTCCACCAAGAAATCCGGAGAAGGTAAGGCCTTATTACATAAAAAATGCCAAAAAGCCCCGATGTAAGTCCCTAAGGGGAAAGCAGCATGAAATGTCAGAGCAGGAGAAACAGTATGGTCTACCAAAGATTGTGTTCAACAATGAGATACCAGTATACACCTATTCAAATCCTAAAATCCAAAACTCTGACAATACCAATTGTTGGCAAGGATGTAGAGCAACAGGAACATTCATTCATTGGTAGTAGAGAATATAAAAATACTACAGCCACTTTGGAAGACTGTGGCAGTTTCTTATAAAGCTAAACATAGTCTAATCATACAATCCAGCAATTGTTCTCCTAGGTATTTACCAACTGATTTCAAAGTTATCCCCACATGAATATTTAAAGCAGCTTTATTTATAATTAACCCAACTCAGAAGCAACCAAAAGGCCTTTCAAGAGAGGGATGCATAAACAAACTGTGGTGCATTGTAGACTACTACTTCTCGGTGATAAGGAATGTGCTATTGAGCCATGGAAAAATATGGATGAATTTTTATTTATTTATTTATTTATTTTTTATTTTTATTTTTTGGTTTTTCTCTGGTACTGGGAACCGAACTCACGACCTTGCACTTGCCAGGCAGGCGCTTTGCCACTGAGCTAAATCCCCAGCCCCTGGATGAATTTTTAAATGCTTTTTTCTAAGTGAAAGTAACCAGTCTGAAAAGGCTATATAATGTGTGATTACATTTTATGTGTCATTCTGTAAAATTCAGACATAATAAGCAGATTGGTGGTTGCCAGGGGTTTGGGGAAGAGAGAAAACTGAATAAGTAAGTGCCCAGGGTTTTTAGGGCAGTGGAACTATTCTGGGTGCTACTATAGTGGCAGATACATGAGGTTATGCATTTTTTCAAAATGTGTACAACATCATAGCACAAAAAATAAACTCTAACATGCAATTTTTTAAAAAGTCATTGGGGGAGTCAGGGAGTCCAAAGATGGACTGCAGAACAGGACAAATGAATCTAACTGTGTCACAGATCTAAGAAACAATTTCATGGAAGGGTGCTGACTTAGATCACTTTGGCAATGAGTTTAAGACTGAAGGCAGAAGGAATTACACATGAACACGATACCCTGGTTGTTAACATTGTTTCCCATGAGGTGTGCATTCGAGGCTCTAATCCTACTGCGCATGTGCCCTGAAAGGGAACTACTGAGCAAATGGACGGCAGATAACGGAAGCCAGGTTTCCCACTGTTGGGGTGGGAAGTTACACAGAAGCAAAGCGGGAAGGCAAAAACGATCCAGGTGGTACTAGATTGAGTCTGAGACGTCAGTCTGGCGTGTTCATCATGTTTAGCTTAATACAGATGTGGGTGGGTACATACAGAAACACAGACCTGGGGGCTGGGGATTTAGCTCAGCGGCACAGCGCCTGCCTGGCAAGTGCAAGGTTGTGAGTTCGATTCCCAGTACCAGAAAAAAAACAAAAAAGAAAAAAAAAAAAGAAACATAGACATGTAAACACACAATGGTAATAGGCAGACATATCTCCTTCCTTGGTCAGCTGTCTATGACTAGGAGCAGTGATTGGCCAGGGGCATACCTAGCGCGTAGGACTTGATTTCAAATACCATTTTGTAATAGAAAAGGAGCCTAGTCTCTTGGAGAAATGGCTGGTTCTAGATGCAGGTTCATTTTTGGGAACAGAGAATGTACGAATCGAGCCCACAACACTCTGTAGTCCAGAAGGACACAAAGGAAGTGCTCAACAAACCACTGGCTGGAGAATAAATAAAACAGGGCACAGCACCCATGTTTCCCAACTGCTTGTTTAATGCTCTTTCCGCTAAGCAGTTTACCTTTGGTTATTAAAAATTTCACAACACCCAGGCTGCAATTTGACAGGCACACACGTAGACCGAGAGGGTTACTGTCAGCAGGTAGAGCTGAAATTTATTCATCGTGGAAGGTTGGAGCTTTTCAGGGGATCAGGGACAACGTGAGAGTGGTAAAGTTGAAAACAGGGCGGAGGTCAAGGTTGGATATGAGGGGACACCGGGGGAGGTCATCAGGCTGCGTGGGCACAAGCAGGAGCCTGGGCTGAAAACACATGGGGGCGTCAGTGTGACAGTCGCCACAGCCCGGCAAGAGAGCTGGCGTAGAAGAGGTGGTGGGGTCACAGTGTTGGCACAGAAATGAAATCGCAGAAGACGGGAGGCAGCCCGAACAGGCTTGCTCTGTGCACAGCCGTGCAGTGTAAGAGGACGTGGTCGAAGAGCCCCCATCCTTATTGGCAGGGCGACCGCTGTGACCCTGAAGTGGCGATGCCAGAGTGTGTGACAAACATCTCACCAAGTCAAGGAGAGCAAAGATTTACCGACTGTGGCACAGATGACTTGTTGCTTACCTGCTGCTCCTTTGTGTCTTCTCCACTAAGCGAAGAAGCCTTACACTGTATTGTTCAGGGTGGCGAGGGGCCCAGTTTTCAAGCAATACTTTTCCAGCTTCCCCTGCAGATACTGGGGCCCAAGGAGATGAAAGCAAAAGTCATCGCATGAAGCTTCTGAGAGAGCTTTGGAAAGGGAACTGAATCATGTGAGTGATTTCACCTTTCGCCCTTGGCCTCTCGCTTCCTCCTGCCGAGGGCCTGCGAGATGCACACAACACGCTGCATTCTGCACCAGTCACTGAGGGCTCGGGAGCTGATGTGAGCCATGTGCTACAGTAGAAGGGATCAGAAAGAGCTCGTTTTACAGTAGAAGGGATCAGAAAGAGCTCGTTTATCAGAAATAAACCCCTGTCAAGTTTAAGCCATTTTAATTTGGATTTCTGCTCCATATTGTGGAACATATTCCCAACTGACACATGACTGAGGGTTATAGAGGAGCTATAGTATTTGTGGGAAAATTTAAACTTTCACATGAACTGTCCCTAAGAAAAGCACTGGAAGAAACACTTAATCTACTAGAAGACAAAATAGGTAAAACTCTTAAAGACGTAGCATAGGCAAGGACTTTCTGAACAGAAGCCCAGAGGCACAAGAAATAGTACTGAGAATCAATAAATGGGATCATGTCAAATTACAAAGCTTCTGCACAGCAAAGGAAACAACAGAATGAAGAGACAGTCTACAGAATGGAAAAAAGTTTTACCAGCTACACTTCAGACAAAGGACTAATATCTAGAATATATAAAGAACTCAAAAAATTAGACACCCCCTATGTAAAGACCCAATCAAAAAATGAACAACTGAAATGAATAGTCACTTCTCAGAAGAAGAAGTACAAACAGCTGATAAATCCATGAAAAAATGTTCAACATCTCTGGCCATTAAGCCAGGTGTAGTGGCGTTCACCTGTAATCCCAGCACTCAGGAGGCTGAGGCAGGAGGATCATTGCGAGTTCAAGACCAGCCTGGGCTACGAAGTGAGACCCTGTCTCAAAGAGGCAAAAAAAAAAAAAAAAAAAAAGGCAGAAAAAAAGCCCATCTCTGGTCATTAGAGAAATCCAAATTAAAACAACACTGAGATTCCATCTTACTCCAGAAAGAATGGGTACCATCAAGAAATCAAATAATAACAAATGCTGGTGAGGCTGTGGGGGAAAAGGAACGCTTCTACATTGTTCGTGGGAATGTAAACTAGTACAACCACTATGGAGATCAGTTTGGAGATTCCTCAAAAAACTGAAACTAGAAGTTCCATTTGACCCAGCTATTCCCCTCCAGGTATCTTTCCCAAAAGAGTTAAAGACCTTGTATTACAGGGATACATGCATAACCATGTTTATAGCAGCACAATACATATTAGCTAAATCTTAGAAGTGGCCTATATGTCCATCAACAGATGAACGGGTAAAGAAGATGCATTTATACACCATGGAGTACTACTCTGCCACAAAGGATTAACTTGAGTCATTTGTAGGAACTTTGGACCATAATGTCAAGTGAAATAAACCAGACACATCGTGTGAATATCTCATGGTTTCTCTTACATGACAAACCCAAACCATAAATAAAGAGCAAAATAAGAGACAGATAATAGGAAGTAGGCAGAGAGCATTTCTCAAATGGGAAGGGGACCAAGAGATGGGGGGGCGGGAGTGGGAGAGGAGGGAGAGGGGATGAGAAAGGAACTACGTGGCATTATGTCCATGTTCCGACTACACAAGGGATGTAATCATTATTACTGCACACATGTAGCTGCATGTGAAAATAACAACTGAAATAAAAGCCCTGGAAACAGTGCTGTGACACATGCCTGTAATCCTAGCTACTCTGTAGGCTGAGACAGGAGGATTGCGAGTTCAAGGCTAGCCTAGGCAACTTAGCAAGACTATTTTTTTTAAAAAGCCAGGCATGATGATGCACACCTGTAATACCCACACTCTGGGCAACTGAGGTAGGAGAACTGCAAGTTCAAGCCTATCCTCAGCAACTTAGTGAGACTTTGTCTCAAAATTTTAAAAAAAAAAAAAATGGAGAGGCAGCACTAGAAATGTTAGGTTTTTCTATAGTATTAAGTCACTTCAGTCTGTTTGGGTTGTTTGTTTGTTTTTTGAGACAGGATCTTGCTATATAGTTCATGCTAGTCTTGAACTTGTGGCAATCCTCCTACCTCAGCCTCCCGAGTCCTGGGATTATAGGCGTGCATCACCACGTCCGGCAAGTCACTTAAATACAAAATCATTACCTGATATACGCTAAAAGGAGGAGCTTGTGTCTTTGGACAGAGGAAATTTCTTTGTGAGCAAATTCGTGGTGCATCATAAGCTCAGCTTACTTTGCCATGCTGTGGCTTCAGCATGGGGGTCCACACGGCATCCTGAAGAGCCCAGACCTGATGCTGGTCTCATTGCCTGGTGAGCCTGTGCTATACATTGGTGAACATTCAATCAAGAGATGCACTGTGTGCTGGAATCATGACCCTGCAGGAAGATCAGCGACGAAAGGACGAACAAAAATTAACTAAAAATCAGAAGTTCTTCCTACATTCTTTGAGAGAGCAGGAGAACAGGATGGAAGGGACAAGGATGGACATTGGGGAATGCAACTTGCTTGGGAAATGTAAATATTTTCATGTAATTACAAAAACAAATTTAAATGCAAAGATTAAAATAATCAAGCCCTGAATAACAAAATCCCTGAATAACAAAAGAAAAGTGAAACAAATTAACCTATGTATCAAATTAGTGGCTTAACAACGTAGAAAGAAACTATTTCAAACAACTGCAGACATGTAGGGCTGACTGTATATCTTATGTAGGCTGTATCTTAGGGACAAAAGCGTCTGAAACTTGGTGATGATTCTACCGCTGGTATTTGAAACTCTGAATGTGAATAATGTGTAAATGTGCATATAAACACAAGCATAGGCACACGGTACATACACATATCAGGGTAAAGCGAAGGTAGTAAGTAACTGTGTTAATACTATTAAGAACTAAGGTTTGTAGCCTAGGAGAGAAAAGGCACAAATATAAATTCAGTGAAATTATGTAAAAGCCGTATAACCTTAGCTTTGAATTGAAGATATCAGTATGAATGTGTTAATTATTTTTAATCATTCTAAAAAGTTAAAACTCCACAATTCTGCTCACTGAAAAGGCCAGTAAAACAATGAGTACTCCTAGTACCCAGCTTGTGGTTTCTCAACCAATGCCCTAATGCACTGCAGGGAACCAGGACTCCCTGGAGAAGCAGCGAATTTCAGATCTGGCGCAAGAGTTGTGCAAGATGTACCAGCTATTGTAGTAGAAAACAAGGAAGCCATGGAATAGAACCGGTGACATGTCAGAAGGGCACAATAAACCAATTTTAAGGGTTCTACTTGCCAAAGAAGAAACAATCTGAGCATCAAAAAGAATAATGATTCTAAAGTCAGTATTGTCACTACTTGTATTCGGCAACGGACAGGAGGTTCTAACCAAGGCAATTCAGCAAGAAAAAGAAATGAAGACTCCCACATGGAAAAGGAGGAAGTGAAACAATCTCTATTTGCGGGTGACTTGATCTTGTAAATGGAAAATCCTCAGAAATCCACCAAAAAACTACCAGAACTAGTAAAGAAAGTTCAGTAACAATGAAAGATATAAGATCATTATATAAAATTCAATTGTATTTCTATACACTAGTAGTAAACAATTTGAAAAAAACATAAAATGTGAAAGAATTCTGTTTATAAGGGATAAGTTTAACAAAAAAGTGAAAAATATATGCTGAAAATTACAGAAAATTATTAAAAGAAATTTAAGATCTGAATAAATGGAAACATCACACGTTCATGGGTCAGAAAATTTACTACTGTTAAATATCAATATCCCTCAAAGTGATCTACAGGTTCAATGCACTATCTATCCCAGCTTGCTTTTTTGTGATAGTTGATAAGTTGATCTTAAAATTTATATGCAAATACAAGAAATCCACAATAACCAAAACAATCTTGGAAAAGAAAAAGAGCTGGAGGATTTATATTTTCTGATTTCAAAATTTACTACTCAACTACAGTAATCAAGACAGTGTGCTACTGCTGTAAAGAGAGACGTCTAGACCACTGAAATAGCCATTAGAGTTCAGATATCAAGTCATTCATATATGGTCAAATAATTTTCAGCAAGGTTAAGACCATTCAGTTATGAAAGAGGAATCTTTCCAAGGAAAGCTGTTGGGACAGCTAGATATCCATCTGTAAAAGAATGAAGTTGGATCCTTATCTCATAACATGCACAAAGTTAATGAATACATATAAGACTTAGCATTTAGAAAACGCTTGGAAAACAAATACAGCAGTAAATCTTCATGGCCTTGGGTAAGACAGTAGATTCTTAGATATGGCCCCAAAACCATGTGCAACAAAAGAAAAAAATAGATAAATTGGGCTTCATCCAAATGAAAAACTTTACTGTTGCAAGTAACACCATCAAGAAAGAGAAAAGACAACCAAAGAATAGGAAAAGATATTTACAAATCTTATATTTAATAAAGGATGTATATCCAGAATATGTTTTTAAAAATTCTCTCATAATTCAATTTAAGAAAACCAAATAACCCAATTTAAAAATGGGTAAAGGATCTGAATAGACATTTCTCCAAAGAAGATGTGGTAAAAATGTAGAAAGCTGTTCAATTTCACTAGTCATTAAGAAATGCAAATCAAAGCCTGGTGTGGTAGTATAGGTCCTGTAATACCAGCGCTGTGGAGGCTGAGACAGGGGTCACTGTGAGTTCAAGGCCAGCCTGGGCTACATGGTGAGTTCAAGACCAGCCTGAACTACACAGCAAAACCCTGTCTTGAAAAAAAAGAGCAAAGAAAGAAAGAAAGAAAGAAAGAAAAGAAAGGCAAACCAAAATGAGTTGGGCGTAGTGGCACATGCCTATAATCCCAGCCATTCAGGAAGCTCAGGCAGGAGGATCAACAGTTCAAGACCAAACTGGGCACCTTAGCAAAACACTGTCTCAAAATATAAAGAGGAACTGGGGATGTAATTCAGCTGTGGAGTGCTTGCCTAGTATGCACAAAGCTCTGGG